TTAATGAGGGTAAAAACACTTTACAGTCATTGACTGATAAACTCGTGGCCCTCCCTTAAACAATTAAAATGTAAATCATAAAAATGGAACGAATAGGAACTACGTGGCCATGACCACGACGAGTGGAAGAACATTGCAGATGCCCTATAGGCCATAGAGGAACGAAGGGGATAGAAATACTGTATCATGACCTTTCATGACAAATCATGCATGATATCAAGTTATCACAAATTGCCATAAAATAACATTACTTGCCATAGCTTATAAAAGCATCTTGAACGCAATCAGGAGCCCATCACCTTGAAACTCCATCCACACTATAATGTAAGTTAAGTCAACCCTTTTCCGTATCATTCTATTTTTAGACCTGTACTTAGTGCAAGGGTCTCTTGGCTTCCCACGAAATATCTTGTTTCTGCAATAGAAATAGAACGACAATGCTTACCTGAGGAATAAACAAACATACTATCTCCCATTCCAATACCATGATTGCATGTCGCATTTTTAGTGTCATCGGCGTGATATTTGACCGTCATGTTTGTTCCAGATAGGCAAAATCCTCCCCTTCCCAATGCGAACAACTTGCCCTGGTCTTTGTTTTTAGTCAAATTAGCGCACATCCTCACAATTTCGTCCGTGTTGTCCCATTTTACTTTGTCGGTGAAATTTTTGAGCGTTGAAAGATTACCGGCACCTTTGAGACAGGCCACCCTAAAATCTAGTGAACAGAAAATAAATAATTAAAAAACAAGAACAGTCTCGTTAGTAATATAATCTATAGCTGCAGATGTTTATGATTTCATCTGCATAAATAATTTTCATTGTTTTGTATTCGGTATTGTAACATATTTCGTTCCCTTTATAACGTCAGGTCATACATAAGTCAACTTAACAATATTGCTAAGTTGGAGAGAAATGTTAATTTGCCGATAATGATTTAAGTAACTCTTGAGGTTTTCCAAGTTTTAGGGTTTTTTTTATTCGAATTTAAAAATGCTTAAAGTCAAATGTCAGTTTGCAGTTATAGGCTCTACTCAAACTCTGTTGCTCTCAAGTCAAACGAGCTGCTAATAGACCAATTTCGATATATT